AGACTGGTCAGTGTCCTCAACACACATGTTGAAAGGCAGGAATTTTATTTTTAAAGTTTAATAATAAACTTTGTTGAAAGTATTACGTCTCCTTTTCCCCCCAGTGACTCCCTCTAGCCTGCTCCCGCCCGTCCCAGGCCCTCACCACCCCACTGTCTGTGCCCACGGGCTGTGCATCTCTGCACACAAGGTCTTTGATCTCTATATTTTGGATATTAACCCTTTATCAGATGTATCGTTGCCAAATATGTCCTCCCCTACAGTGGGCTCCCTTTTCGTTTTGTAGATGGTTTCTTTTGCTGTGCAGGAGCTTTTTATTTTGACGTAGTCCCATTTGTTTATTTTCTCTCTAGTTTCCTTTGCCCTAGGACTGTGGTCGGCAAACCGCAGCTCGCGAGCCACATGCGGCTCTTTGGCCCCTTGAGTGTGGCCACGAGGTTTCAATCGCACTGTATGTGTGCGCCTGCACGTGGTATTTTGTGGAAGAGCCACACTCAAGGGGCCGCAGTTTGCCAACCACGGCCCTAGGAGATGTATCCATAAACATTCTTCTAGGATTTTCATGGTTTCACTTCCTACATTTAGGTCTTTTATCCATTTTGAGTTTATTCTTGTGTATGGTGTAAGTTGATGGTCATGTTTTTGGGTTATTTTTGTATGTATCTAATTTTCCCAGCACTGTTTATTGAAGAGACTGTCTTGACTCCACTGTATGCTCTTGCCTCCTTTGTCAAATATGAATTGAGTGTAATGGCTTGGGGCGATTTCTGGGGTCTCTATTCTGTTCCATTGATCTACAGGCCTGTTGTGCCAGTACCAGGCTGTTTTGATTATTGGGGCTTTGTGGTATAACTTTATATCTGGTATCACGATTCCTCCAACTTTTCTTTCTCAAGATTGCTGCGGCTATTCGGAGTCTTTTTGGGTTCCATGTAAATTTTTGGAGGATTTGTTCTAGATCTGTGAAATATGCTCTTGGTATTTTAATAGGGATTTCACTGAATCTGTGGATTGCCTTGGGTAGTATGGACATTTTAATGATGTTAATTCTACCAATCCATGAACATGGTATGTTCTCCCACTTGTTTATATCTTCTTCTATCTCTTTATTCAACAACCTGTAGTTTTCTGAGTACTAGTCTTTTACCTCTTGGTTAAGTTCATTCCTAAGTATCTTACTTTTTTTGTTGCAACGGTATATGGAATTGTTTGCTTATTTTCTGAGAATTCATTATTGGTTTATAAAGGCCATCAATTTTGGGGGGTGTTGATTTTGTATCCTGCTACATTGCCAAATTCATTGATCAAACCTAGCAGTTTTGTGGTGGAGTCATTAGGGTTTTCCATGTACAACAGCCTGTCCTCTGCGAATAATGCGAGTTTTACGCCCCCCTTCCGATATGGATGCGAAGGGCAGTTACTTTAAAAGGCCGAGAACGAGGGAGAGCCGTAGCCAGCCTGGGACGGAATGGGGGAGCTCAGATAACTGGGAGGCAGGTGTACTGATCTTAAATACTTTAAAATCTGTGCAAACATGCCTCCCTCTCCCCGCCCTGGTCTGGACCGGAGGCGCTGGGTCTGGCCGCCCAGAACTGACTCCAGGTGAGTGCCTAGGAGTGGCGTGACCTTGAGCAGGTCAGCCCCTGACCTTGAGCAGGTTAACGGCTTTGAGCACCAGCCTCCGCAGCTGGCGGTAAAATGCACCCCCAAACACCACCTCACCTGTGACCGTGGGGAGATAATGAGGATGGATCTCAGGGCTTGGCGCCTGGCACACCATAAACCCTCTACGAACGATGATGGTTATTATCACGAATAAGATTAAACAAAAGGGCGCAGTGGCGAACGGTGGATGCATGTGGACGTGTGATAAGAAACGGCCTTGAGCAGAGTCCCCCCAAGAGGACAGACACCATCTCCGTCCTCACACATCCGTTTCCCCAGAGCAAGGACAGCCGCGGCGGCCCCAGGGCGCCTCTCTATAAAGCATCGTCTCTTTATTTAAGTTAAAACAATGTTCAAGGATGGTTTCCATCTATAAAATGGACAAAGCACAAGCTCTGTACAGCAGTTCTTTTAAAAAATCAACTGGGAAAAACAAATTACCAAACTAGATTTTTGAATTTGCAAAACAGACCCACAGACACCATCACCGGAGCGCCGATGGAGGGAGACACAGGAGAGACCGCCACGGGGGGGACGGGGGGCGTCGCCTCGCTTGGTTCGAGGGGCGCTGGGGGAAGAATCTCCATTTGTAAAAAGGGGGTAGGGGTGAGACGGGCCCCAAGACTACAAAATACGCCACCGCAGGACGTCGCTTTGGCACGCCGTGTCGTGTAAACATAGCTCGCCTGGTGGGGGGGTAGAGGGGGCAGCTGCCTCCACTTGCAGTGCCCACGGGCCAAGGCCGCGGGGCTGCCTGCTGGGGGGCAGAGTGCCCCAGGGCCCCATAGATCAAAGGGTGCCGAGGCCCCCGGGTTGGGTGGCGTCGTGCTGGCGGAGGAACAGGGAACTGATGAGAATTTGTTTTCCGTCTGAGCCAGATCTGTTTTCCGTCGGGGACATGGTTTTCTAACAGTAGTAACAGCTCGCAGGTGACGGGTCTGATGAGGGGGCCCAGGCGTGGGGCCCAGCGCCCCATCGGGGCTCAACAGCCCGACACAGGTACCTGACTCTCCCAGGAGCCTCTGGAGACAAACGTGTGCGAGTCCGCCCCTGGCACTGCTTGGCAGGGGGCGAAAGGGAGAAGCCGGGGTGGGAAAGCCCCCGGCCATGTTGCCGCGCCCCATCCACTGTCAAGGGCAAGCGCATGTGGAGGAAGAGAGACCCACCGAGCTCCCTCTCCTAAAAGAAACCATCAGGCCCGGCCGGCCTGGCTCAGGGGTTGAGCGTCGATCTGTGAACCAGGAGGTACCGGTTCAATTCAAAGTCAGGGCACATGCCTGGGGTGCAGGCTCGACCCCCACTAGGGGGCGTGCAGGAGGCAGCCGATCCATGATTCTCTTTCGTCATTGATGTTTCTCCCTCTCCCTCTCCCTTCCTCTCTGAAATCAATTTAAAAAAAAAAGATCAACTTCGATCTTTAAAAAAAAGCAAATGAGCAGGAAAGAGTAGCAAGTGGCAGTGTCGACTGCAGCCTCTTCTGGGGCCACTTCTACCCGGCGGCGTCCCAGAGGGGCCTGGCAATGTGCCCTCAGGAGGCACGCGCCACCACATGGGGGGACAGGGGGCTGCGGGCACGGCCGGCCTGAGACCAGGCAGCGTGTGGGAAGGTGGGCAAGGGGAGTGAGAGGTGACCCGTGGCCAGGTGACCAGGGGGCCTCCTTGGGGCTGGGGCTGGCCTGTCCCTCCAAAGGCCACGAGGCGCCACAGGACACACCCGCCATCCAGGGGGCACCGGGCCTCTCTCCCTGTGGCTACTTTTCATTCTTGGTCGTCGCTATCCCTGGTTCACACTGACCACCCGGCCGCTGCTTCAGACCCCGGGTCCTTAGTGTCGCTGAGCAGGCAGGGCCGTCCCCGCCCGTCCTGACAATGACCCCAAGCTCCGAGGCCTCACCTGGGCCCGGAGGGACGGACACAGCCAGCTACCAGGACCCTCACCCTCCGCCCGTCGCTAGCCCGTAACAGCCCGAGAGTCCCTGGGAGCTGTGGGATCATTTTCTGTTTTTCCTTAGAGAAAAGAAATTTCATTGAAAAAGACCTAAAGCAACCTTTGTCCAATCAAGTCCAGGTTTACAGATGCCAGGGGCACGCAAAGTGGATTCCAGCACAGAGCAGTGACGCCCACGCTGTAGCCGGACAGCGAGGCGGGGCCATGGCTGGCATCCTGGCCTCCACGGGGCCCCGCCCGCTGCCAGGGCCACCCCGGGGGCACGGCCGGCACAGCTCCGAGGGGCATTGACAGGGTGAGGACCTACAGAAACCACCGGAACGGCTGTGCGCTTTCTTTATATCTATTTATAGTGGGTGTCCCGCCACAGAAACATTCAAGTTCAGATCCGGCAGGTCCTTCGCGTCGTGTGGAGGTGGTGGGGAGCCGGACCCGCAGGTGGCCGTCGGTGCCGTGGGCCACGCGGGCTTGCGATGGGGCCAAGGGAGGTTTCCAGAGAGATCTCCTGCTGCAATGGAGCCACGTGCCCCTTCCCCCTCCCGTCCCCCAAACGCACACCTGGAGCCTCGGCTGTCGCATCCCCGCTGTGGCTGGGGCTGCTCCTTGGCGTCTGGGCAGGACCAGGAGGGAGCCGACAGGACGGGGCGGTGCCCAGGGAGGGGGGACCAGGCTGCGCTGTGACTGGTGACCAGTCCTCTTCCCTTGCCGCTGTGTCTGCCGCCCCGTCCCGTCGGTGCCGAGGTGCCGGCGTGCAGACAGGACGGGAGACTGAGGTATATAGTTTCGCGGAAAGTTTGATCGATCCCGTGATCTCCGACCGCCCGTGGGCGCGGCGGCGCCTAGGGCTGCAGGTTCAGCGAGAACTTCCACTGTTGGGACAGCGTAGGCCGCCCGCCGCGGCCCCGCGGCTGTCCAGGCACAGATTGCTGCCCACGTGCCGCAGCTTGGAGTTGCCCTCGATCTGCTCCCATTTCTGCAACAGACAGGAGAGCGCCTCACCGTGAGCACGGAGGGACAGGAGCACGGGCTGCCCGGCCGGTGTGGCTCAGTGGCTGAGCCTCGGGCCTGTGAACCAGGAGGTCACGGTGTGATTCCTGGCCAAGGGCACGTGCCCGGGTGGTGGGCTCGATCCCCAGTGGGGGTGCGTGCAGGAGGCAGCCGGTCCATGATTCTCTCTCATCATTGAGTATCTCTCTCTCCCTCTCCTTTCTGCTCTGAGATCAGTAAGTGTATTTATAAGTTAACAGGGTGTTAATTAAAAACACTCACACAAGCAGACTCGTTTCCAGGATCCTAGGGCTGCGTCAAAACCAACCAACACGCACTTTTGGTTTCTGGTCATAAAGGAGGGGAGCTGGCAAGCGCCCCAAGAAGCGGCAGCCGCAGGGCCACTGAGGGCCCCAGGGAGAAACCCAGGGCCGGGCTGGTTTGCACCTCAAAGCTCTTCTCTGGCCCCCCCCAGGGGCCACTCCTCCCGCCCCTTCCTGTCCCCTCACCCCGTCCAAGCCCCAGTGCTTTCCTGGAGGGAAATGCATTCACCAGGAGGCTTGTCTGGTATTTCACCCCAAAAAGGAGCCCCCAGGGGCTCAGTCCTGCCCCTGCTGTGGGGAGGCGGCCCTGCCCGGGGGCGTGGCCTGGGCACTTCCGGCTCCTGCTTAGGGACCTCACTCAGGTGAGGCAGAGGCACTGCATTAGGTCAACTACCCGGAAATGCCTTTGTGGACAGAGCCTCAAGTTGAGGAGCCTGTTTGTTGTGGGTGAGCGAACCTGGACTCAGAGTCCCCATTGTTCTGCGTGGCAGGGACCAAATGGTTCTGTTGGGTTCCGAATGTCCTACTTGTAAAGTACAGACATTTAAATGCTTGTAACGTGTCCTACTTATGTGTGTGTACACACACGCACACCCTCCTAACACCAAACTACCAACCAAACTCTCCAACCAAGCTCAACCAACCTACCAACTGAATTCACCAACCAAACTCAACCAACCAACTGAACTCAACCAGCCAACCAAACTCACCTACCAACCAAACTTGCCAACCAAGCTCAACTAGCCTACCAACTGAATTCAACCAAATTCAACCAGCTAACCGAACTCAACCAACCTATCAACTGAACTCCACCAGCCAACCAAACTCAACCAACTAGCTGAACCAACCTACAACTGAACTCCACCAGCCAACCAAACTCAACCAACTAGCTGAACCAACCTACCAACTGAACTCCACCAGCCAACCAAACTCAACCAACCTACCAACCAAACTCGCCAACCAAGCTCAACTAGCCTACCAAATGAACTCAACCAAATTCACCCAGCTAACCAAACTCAACCAACCTACCAACTGAGCAGGGTCAGCCCATGTGTTGAGCTTGTCTACCATCCCTTGACTTCTCCGGAAGAAATTCTTAAAAAAAAATGCTATTATGATGTTGCTGTTTTTGTTTTGTTTGGTGTGTGTGTGTGTGTGTGTGTGTGTGTGTTTACCAGCATTTACATTATTATTTCGTTAGAAGTAATTCACACCTTCCCGGGCACTGTGGCTTAGTGGTTGAGTGTTGACCCATGCACCAGGAGGTCACCAGTTTGATTCTGAGTCAGGGCACGTGCTCAGCTTGCGGGCTTGATCCCCAGCAGGTGCCATACAGGAGGCAGCAGGTCAATGTTTGTTTCTCTCTCATTGATATTTCTCTCTCTCTCTCTCTCTCTCTCTCTCATCAATAAAAACATTAAAAAAAGTAATTCACACCTGTAACAAAATCATATGATAAAGGAAGTCTGTCA